CCCGCCGTGCTGCTGGGCACCCCCGGAGCGCTGCGGGAGGCGCTGCGGCGGCGCTTCCTGGCTCTGGAGAGGCTGCGCTGGATGGTGCTGGACGAGGCGGACGCGCTGATGGACGAGTCCTTCACGGAGCTGCTGGAGGAGATCCTGGCACACGCTCCGCTGGCCGCCGGCGCTCCCGGGCCAGTCGGTCCCGACGAGGAGAGGACGCAGGTGGTGGTGGTCGGAGCCACCTTCCCCACGGGGCTCAGCGAGACGCTGGCGAAGTTCACTGACGTGGGCCGGTTTGTCACCCTCAGCACCCAGAGCCTGCACCACCTGCCGCCTCACGTCCAGCAGAAGTTTGTCCGCCTCAAAGGCCGGGACAAGCTGCCCGAACTGCTGCAGCTGCTCAAGGAGCGCCCGTCATCTGGCGGGGCTGTTCTCATCTTCTGCAACACTGCCAGCACTGTCAACTGGCTGGGCTATATCCTGGACGACCACAAAATCAAGCACCTGAGGCTGCAGGGTCAGATGTCAGCAGCTGCTAGAGCTGGCATCTTTGCCTCTTTCCAGAAGGGTGACGTGTCTGTCCTCGTCTGCACTGACCTTGCCTCGCGGGGGCTGGACACCAGCAGTGTGCAGCTAGTGGTCAACTATGACTTCCCAGACACCTTACAGGACTACTTGCACCGTGCTGGGAGAGTTGGCCGGGTTGGGAGCAAGGCACCTGGAGCTGTGATTAGTTTTGTCACCCATCGGTGGGATGTGGACCTAGTACGGAAAATAGAGACTGCAGCCCGAAAAAGGACAGGTCTCCCAGGAATGGACTCTACCTTTGCCTAAAGGAGGTTAATTCAGGTTGCCAGGCATTCCCTGGTAGGGGCTTACCTTGAGGTCACTAAGGCAGAGTGAACGAGCTGCTATGTATAAGGCAGACTGAAAGAATAGAGTTGAATTTCAGAACTAGGTGGTCAGGTGAACTTTGTGCACTGTTCTGGAAGCTGCAGTATTCATCTGCACAGCTATCACAACATGTGGCTTTCCCAAAGGAAACTAGTAAGTAAGTAACAGTGCTTTTGGAGAATACTGAAGAACTACTTCATCAGTTGATTTAGTTTACTTATTTTGAGACATAATTTAAATTCAAATCCAAATGAACGTATTTCTGTATGATATACAGCTCTATTGCATTTATTTACTGCCCACCACCATCTGTAACATTCATTATTAAAACTTAAAAATTGCTGCTGTGGCAGCAGATAAAACCTGACCAGTTACAGACACAAAGGACTAAAGGACAAAGGATTCTTGATTTTCTTGTAATGTAGCAGTTCATTCAGAGAATTCTAGATGGGATACCCATAATGTACAGTGAGAATGAGAAGGCACAATAGTGCTTGAGGCTCTTTCGAGGCCTTAATTTGTTACTCTACGGTTACTTTTCACTGAGAAATGGGATCTTGCTCCTTCATGTTATATTAAATAAAAACTAAAAAGTCCTAAAGTGTTTTCTGCCCATTTTTTTTCTGCCTACTGTAGTGACATGTTCAGTTTCTGAACTGACTGTAAAAAAGCCAAAAAACCCCACCACACTGAAAGATGTCTTCTGTTAAAATGAAAGAAGTGTGTTGGTTCATGGGTTCTAGTGACTCTCACATAACAGAATGAGTGTGAGATTTCTTTTGAATGTTGTGCTTTTGTCCTATTTTGCTTCAAACCAGAGAGTTGAAGTGAGGCTGAGGTTATTTCATATCTAGCTGCTAGTTTGTATCCATGGTAAATAATCACACAAACCAAGCATTTTAGCTCTGGTTTCCATTGCAGTGATTTGCCACAAGCCTTTCTTTTAGTGTCTGTTTTTCCCATGCTATCCAGTTTAGGCTGTGCAATCACTCGGAATGGAGAAATAGTAGGTTTCTACGTTATGGTGAATGAGAAGATCACAGCATTGGATCTAAATCCAGTTCCGAAGGAAATAATTCACTGGAGTTACTCTTAGTATACTGAGAGTAAAAGTTAAACAAAGAGAAAACTTTTAACAGATCAAGTATGACCCAAGGATCAGGCAATGACTTTATCCTATTGTACATGTGCTCTGTTCATATTGCACAGTTAAGGTGCTCTTAAAAGAAGTTACAAACTGCAGTAAAATTATTTAATACAATAGCTCCTAGGTTTTAGAAATATAGCGAAAGAATGATCCATTTAGAGATTGGAAACCCATTCATTGCATGGACAGCAAATAATTGGTAGTTTAACTTCTGTAACCCACAATTTTACTGTCTGTGAACAGGTCAGTCTGCACTGCGGTACACAGAAATACTAAGTTAGACAACACAGTGAAATAATGAAATTCTTTCAGCCATTTGCTTCTTACTTAAGAAGTAATAAGCACTTCATATAGTTACAAGTAGTAACCTTGAAGGGTACAAATACCCTTACCTATTTGTTGCTAGTACACTGTTGATCACAACAGTTCATCAAAAAAAACCAAACAAAAACCCAAAAAAAATCCTCACCACAAATTTTAGGCATTATACTAAAGTGGCTAATAAAAAGTCTTGGGTAGATAGACTCAAGAGAACACTGAATTTACCGGCAAAACCTTTTGTAGACAGTACTTTTAAACAGAATCACAGTTTTTTAAGCATACATCAAGAAATAACACTTTCCTGTTGCTGGACCCAGTGATTAACAGCAGTAATTATACACAGGAGCACACAGACACTCAGACCCTGGGATGAATAAGATGATACAGAGCCACCAAATGCAGCCAGCCACATCACTGACACATCATGTGAAAGGTGTAATTGCCCAATAGGTAAATGCTACAGCAAAGTCTTCAAGGAAATTTGTAGAGACCCTACCACTGGTAGTGAGCTAAATGTGTATGGTCAAATTTGGTGAAGAAAAAGACATCCAAAGACTTTAGTTTGACTTCTCCCAAACTGTCTGAATGTCACATCATACATTGTTCACATCTCAATGACTGTCTATAGACATAATTAGCTGCTGTATTCTTGTCTGTACATGTTCTACCTTCTGCATAAATATTATTTTAGATTCTATGGTCATAACTACAGCTTCATTTGGGCTCTATCTTATGGGTATTCAGATAATTCTGTAGCTCAATGTCTAGCAAGGTACCCTAGGACAAGCTCTGTCACATATCACAGCGAGAGGGAAATACATCTTCTACCACTCCAGCAACCTGGCAAAGACCACACTGTTTGAGACTCCACTGCTCCCTGGAATGCACTTGTATGTATATTCTCCCCAGACAGAACTCTCTTCCCTCCTCTTCCTCCTGAAACATATTTGTGAGCCCAGCTTACACGTTTGTGGTAGAGTGTGTGGTAGAGAAGTTCTCCATGCGCACTCTGGCCAGTTTCTCAGCAGAAACCGGCCGCAGGAAGAGCTTGCAGGTGAAGACTTGCCGGCAGGCCTTGCGGAAATTCTCCGAGAGGAAAGCGTAAAGGATGGGGTTGATGCAAGAGTTCCCGTAGGCCAAGCAGTGAGAGATGATGCGGAAGGTGAAGGAGATGTTGTTCAGGGGAAAGTGCCCAAACTCTGCCCACATGGTGATGATGTGGTGTGGCAGCCAGGAGAGCAGGAACACAGCAACCACGAGAAGCACTGTCTGCGCTGTCTGGAAAGGAGAAAATTGTGCATTAAATGGTCACAGTGATCAAGTGAGTCTGTGGGATGAGTGAATTTGCTTTCCTCTGTCCATAGTGACGGCAGCATAACACAGGCAACACTGACAGCTGCCAGGTGGCCAATTATGACAATGTGAAAAAGGATGCTAAAAACGCTGGTAAACTTTGATTAACTGGTTTTGGCTTAAGCAAATAACTATAAACAATTGAGGTAGTGCCCGTAAAACTTCAAACAGTTCAAAGGCTGCAACAATGCTAACTGTGTTACAGGTTCATTGTGTACCTGGCATACCCCAGGTGCTTCCTTGTTTCACCTACCAGAATGCTGTCTGACAGCTGAGCTAACAAAGATGTTCCCCTAAGTGTGAACAAACTACCCTGCCAAGCATCCTCGAACAGACCATGCTGGAAGTCAAATGATGTCCTTGAAAACAGTCTGGAATGATTAGAAGTTGATGAGACTGAAAGACACAGACCTAGTGGTCTTGTGGGGTCTAGCTCACCCACTGTGGTATGATGGGTACCAAAGAAATTATTAATAAACAGGTCCCATCATTAGCTTTCATCAGCAATAATGGTGCTACTTCTTTACCCTCTAGCAATGTTAAGTAGCTTAGGCTTGTTACCCAGGCAACCTTTCATAGCATCCATCTGCTTAAATTAGGGGGCTACAAGCACTGAAATATTCTTTTGAATAAGGCTTATATACCTAGCTTTCCCCCCCTTTTATTGTGAAATAACAAACCATGCATTTAACATAGGGCTGAGTATTACACAATGTGTTTGCAGTTGCTATGTAATAGCACAGAGCTGTTTCTGGGGTCCAGCTTTTTGGGATTTTGCAAATGGGAAACACAGACAATACTAGAGAACTAATGTACATAATTCATGACTCAAGAAATGGGTTTTGGAAATGGAACTTTTGTCTGTTTTTCAAGTTAGGGACCATGTTAAGACAAAGGAAACTGAAACAAACTCTGGCTTTTATTGTGGTAACTTTCCTGTAGCTTAAACTACTGTTACTGTAGAGTGTGACCAGCTGTGAAGGACTGATCCAAATAACTTGTGTACTGTTTGAGCTTCTTCCATGAGCTGTGGTAGTTTGCACAGTTACTGCATTACTGTTGATCAAGCTGTCCCCAATTAATTCAGACCTTCTGATTTGACTTTGAAATTTTGGTGGGTCCATAATAGACATGTACAATGGCCACTACTGGCCACTTAAGTTTCTCTTACTTCTCCTAGAAGTCTTTCAAGCAGCTCCAGGAAATAACTTACAGTGGATTTGTACAGGCAAAGTAAATGTGTTTAAGCTGTAGAGTGAATCGATAGCATGGTGACAAAGACTAGGAGATATTTTTGTTCATCAGATAATTAGATAAACTTCTGTTATTTCCCCCCCCCCCATTTTTGTCATGTGCAAATTGTGTTGAATTTACTTGCTTATTCTTTTGTTATCTTTGTAGGCCATCTGCCTCTCATTTATGCTTTCCAGCATTCCTTTGTCTGTTTTGCCCCTTGATTATTTTTTCCTGGACAAGCTATTTCTTGCTTTTAGCCTTCCCCCATCCAAAAAAGCATTGGAAAATGTGTTTAAAAAACATTTTGGGGGAGATACCTCATTCAGGGGGATGCAGAAATCTTTAACGTTTAATTGTGTTTAGAACTGTTGTCCTTGATAAGATTCTAATGAAGTCACTTCAACTTGTCAGGTATCTTGTCAAGTGCAAAATTAATATTTCCCTGTAATGAGTCAAATGCTTCAAGTATTCCATGGATTTACATATTTTAGGAAGAACTGCCTGAATGTTAGATTAATAAACATTCCCAAGATTAAAATATAGAGTGGACAGAACAGTGTAGAGGGGTAGAGGGCTTGTCACTTTCTTAATTTACTCCCAGCTGGAGACAGCCCAGCTGCACATCATTTTTCAGAGCTGATCAGAGCATCCATTTCTACTGTGTACCACAGCACACAGAAATGGGAAAGAACATTCAATTAGGTTTTCATTAAACAGTACTGGCTTGCAGACAAACTGGGAGACAACTGCTGTTTCCTGAAATTGGTGAGATTATTTTTTCCTCTTTTTTTTTCTTCCATAATTCTAAATGAAGAAGCATAAAGAAGCCTATGTCTGTTCTTCCACACTGTCTTATCAGCAAACAATTAATTCTTCTTTTGTTACTGCTTTGCAGGAGGATATCTGATATCTGATTATGTGATTTACTGATAAATCTTTTCTCCTGTTATGCTCATCTCTAACTTGTACATTTTTCCCATAAAATGGAGGCAATTGTTGCATGTTTTAACAGCCCCAGGCTTGAATATGTTACAGAGTTACAGACTTCACTATATATTGTAATGAAGACTTGGAAAAAACATAGTGACCCAAGGTGCCTTAAGCTTTTGTTTTTGGATATTGCAGGTGCCCTGTGTCAGTGCCCAGGAACGACCTGTGGCTTAGTGCAATATACCACTGTACTGATGGAGAAACTTACCGACCTCTAAGGAAGACAATTTTTGTGGCTTTAGATTCAGGGATACCCAATTGAGAACATCCCTTTGCTCAGAGTCCATGTGTGAGCCAATGTGCAAAGTGAAAATTGCCAGTTTCTTCACTCCTGGTGCCATGTTCTTGTTTGCTTTGTTGGCGAATCTGACTCCCCCTGATAGATTTGCAAACATTCTTTTCCTTTTTGAACATAAAGTTCTAACAGAAAGATCAGCACAATCTGATCTCCAGAAACATGTCCTTGGCTTAGTGCTAAATGCAAAATGTTCAGAAAATGGCATACCTATTCTTAAATACCTTAAATGTTGGATAGCAGCTGTCTCTACT